TGCAGGAATGACAGCAGACATGGGCAGCCAAAGTCTGGACAACAACTTGGTAACCAGAATAATAGCGGGATTCACACATGTGATAAACTTAACTTCAGTAACATCCTGCCTGCCTACCAGTCTTTGTGCACAATATTTATGTAACACTAGTCCTTTGAATTTACTTGGAGGGGACAACTGGGGAGATGTGGAGCGGAAACCTCATGGGAGTCAACCCAAAGGATGAACTGTACCTGGAAGGAATTGAGGAACTATGCAGACCTGGCATGTGAACCAGGAGCTTTGGTTTTTTGATTTTTCCATGATTGTTTTGATAGGGATAATTGTTTGTAAACTTAAGTTTTTATAATAAGTGCTTTATCAAAGCTGTAATTGTAAAATACTTTGTAATAATAGTTGTTAGTTCTATAGTAACCATAGGCATAAGTTTCTCTATCTAGGATATGGAATAGACAGCCTTGGGCTTTTGAATAACAGATTGATGGTTCCCTGATTGTAAATCACTGAGCCAAACAATGTGATCTATAAGGTGATACAAGGTTTTGCTTGTATGCTTTTCTCGTGTGACTATCTGTTTACCTTTACCACATACCCCACTCAAGAGATCTCTATAAGACCTACCCTGTGGAAATGAATAAGAATTTAGATTAGTTCTGGAATCAAGTCTATTATCTGGGGCAAATATGAAAGGATGTGGCCATTTAATAATACATTAAATCAAATCTCTGTTTGGAATCTAAATTGTTCTTACGCCTCTTTGTCAGGATAACAGGACTTTGGCATGTAGAGGCAAACAACCCCAGTGCTTGTAGATAAACGAAATGGGGATGAGCCACACTGGGAAAAGTGAGTGGTCTTAAGGTATGTGGAACTGGTAAACACCCAGTAATTCGTGTATGTGGTTCAATGTAATGCAAGGGCCACCTGCCCATTGTTTATAGTCTCAAGCCCATGCAGAGAGAAGAGATGACAGGAGGGATTGCTACCCCTGGTGTCCTCAAAAAAGGGTATAAACCCAATATAAAAAGCCCCCTGTGGAAGTGATAAGTTGTACCATTAGTGGGGATCTAGAAAAAGGTTGTGGCTAATTCCTTTGTTTCAGTATTTAATCAGTGCCGCCTGCTTGTGTCCAAATTATGTAATAGCAGCACAAGCAAGCATTTCAAACATACTAAGAAATCCTCCTGTCAGATCACTTGGACTATGGACAGTTGTGATGACTAACCTGTCCATGCTCCATGTCAGTTAACTCGGATATGCTCAAATGGGACTATTATAGATATGCAAACCTCTTTTCATTCCAGTCTGCAATGTAAATTTGGAGTACTGGTTTGACTGTGTCCCAGAAGTTAGTGGTATGGGCCAAAGAATTATTTGGAGGGGGAATAGGACACCCTAAAATTAGACTTATGCTGCCCAACATATCTGTACAAGTGGAAGCTTTAGCAGCCCTTACTAATGACAATTTTGAATTGCTACAAACTGTCTGAAAGTTGGACAAGGAGTATGTAGATTCCTGAAGGGAAATTATGAACAAGAAGAATGCTGTGTTACAACTCCTCTTCATGAAAACCTCCAGAAGATGAAGAAGATAGCTGAAGTTACACATAAGCAGTAGAAGCAAATAAAGGACACTTGGCTGGGAAATATTGTTTGTAGAATAGGATGCGTAATTTCTGGGTGAATTGATAACTTGTTGTAAATATTGATGATTATTATTGTTTATGTTATTGCAATAAATATTGCTGTCAGTTGTGTAAAAAGAATTAGTGTAAAACCTATCTCCCAGGTAAGGGTTCATCTAGAAACTGAGGAACACATGGCTCTACTAAAACCCACAGACGAAACTTGCACTGATAAGGTGCCAAATGATAATATAGAAGTGGTTAAATCATGACTCAGGTCATGGGGTGGAACGTAAAGATTGGTCTGGCTCATAGTTTAAACAGGTTTTGGTAATGTCTAGTGAACCAAGTGACTCATGGAGGGTTGCAAGAGGAATTTAGCCTTGGATTGCCTTGAGGCCCTGTCTCTGCAGACATGACCCTTGGGAAGCTATGTAGCTAGCTAAGCCCTGAGTTGTCTGGTAAGCCCAAAGCTAAACAGAGCAGTGCTGTGTGATTTAAAGAACCAAAACCTGAGCTCAGCCTTGAAATCTTCCAAGAAATAATATGCCCCGAGCCCCAGTCAAACCACCATTCAGTTGCCTAAAAGTTAGACAAAGGTAAGCTGGAGGGTTTCCATTTGGTTTCAGTGAATCCAGACAATACAAAGATATGCAAAAGATAGAGTATGCATAAGTGAACCACACCCATGAATAAATAAAGGTAGAGGGAGGCACTGCTAAAGACAACCAGCCCAGGTGGTCTAATTCACTCAAACACACTCCTGCCTGCTGTTACATATGTCAGGGAATTAAACTCCTAAGATTCAGCATAGAAATTGGGAGTTCCTTCTCCAGCCATGCAGTGAGATGTGATGAGAACCTTCTCCCTTGGTTGGGGTGCTGGCCAAGGTAACTTACATGGGAACCCTTACCTGGAGGGGTAAGTGAATATTTGGCAGGCTTTAAGTTTGTGAGTCACAGGTGATTGACTAACACATGGGTGGTATTTTGAGTTGTTTGTGAGTTGCAGTAGTGTGTTCCATAAATCGCCTCTGAATTGTAATAGTGTATTGTGTGAGTTGCCTGGGAGTCGTGAATTGTTGATGGGCAGTTAATAGTGAGTTCTGTGAGTGGTCTGTGGACTGACATGAAATGCGTGTAGGTGTTTTGTGAATGTTGTTGTTGCAATAGTGGATTATGTGACTCTATTGTGGCTGTAATAGCGTAGGCTTGCTTTTAAACTGCAGTAGGACAATTCTCCATTGTATCTATAAAACCTGCAATAGTGACATAATGGATCCGCACATGTTGTTCAATTAAATTGCCAGTTTGAACCCTACAGTCAAGTTTCTTTTCATCACACCAAGGCCATGTGAGCTCTAGGGAAGTGGGAAGATCTCTTGCCTTTGAAAAAGTTTGAGTGGATTGACTGCTGGTGGGCTGGGGAAAGAGCAAAGGATTGTGGGCCTTCCTGAAGGCTTGAGAAAGGCCTGCTGGGCAAGAAAAATGATAGGATTCTCCCCCTACCCTCATCTCTCCGGCCAGTATCTGTGGACTGAGAGACACAAGTCTCCTTGTCATGAGGCAGGTGAGTGTGGAAAGAAAGAAGGAAGCAGGTTGAGGAGGTGGACAACTTTAGCAAATATCAGGGTCATAGGATGCCCATGCTACATA